TTATTGATTTTTCACAGAGAGGAAGGGAGAGAGATAGAAAATTAGAAACATCGATGAGAGAGAAACATCGATCAGCTGCCTCCTGCACATCTCCTACTGGGGATGTGCCTGCAACCCAGGTACATGCCCTTGACCGGAACCGAACCTGGGACTCTTCAGTCCGCAGGCCGATGCTCTATCCACCGAGCCAAACCGGCCAGGGCCTGACTTCTTTCTTGATTCAGCATCTTGATTCCCATGATGAGCCAGTAGAGTGGAGGTTCTCTTATCCCCACTTTAGAGATGAGCAGGGAGGCTCAGAAAGGACTTTGTTTGCTCAAGGCCACCAAGCTGGCCGGAGCCCAACTGGGTGCCTGACTGCCCCTGCCTTCCCAGAAGCTTGGGGTTTTGCTCCTAGCATTTCCTCCTTCTTCTTCTTTTTTTAAATGTTTTTATTGGTGTGTTTGTTTGTTTTCTTTAGCAAGAGAGGAATGGGGAGGGATAGAAAGATAGAAACATCAATGATGAGAGAGAATCATTGATTGGCTGCTTCCTGCAAGCCCCACACTGGGGATCGAGCCCGCCACCCAGGCATGTGCCCTGACTGGAATCGAACCATGACCTCCTGGTTCATAGGTCCATGCTCAACTACTGAGCCATGCCAGTTGGGTGAGGATATTTTTTCCATTGATTTTTTTTTTTTTTTTAGAGAGAGAGTGGAAAGGAGGGAGGGGGAGACAGAAATATGACCCCGAGAGAGACACATTCATTGGTCGCTTCCCACACATGCCCTGACTCGGGCTGGTGATCGAACCTGCAGCCCGGGCAAGGGGCCTCTGGCTGGGAATCGAACCCTTGACCCTTCGATGAATGAGCCACTGTTTCAATCACTGAGCAACACTGGCCAGGGCCAGAATTTCCTTTTTTGTCTCTGGCGCTTTGCTCTCTGTCCACGGCGGTGGAAAGGTGTTGGTTTTGGGTCAGCCAGGCTTGGGCTGTGGGCCCCTCTGCATGGCCATCTTGATTGCCCGGGCTTCCGGTGGGTGTCTTCAGAGCTTGGTCCATTTCATTTACCGTTGCCTTTGAACAGGTTTTTGACTTCTCCAAGCCTCGGTTTCCCCGACTAGACATGGGGTGATTGTCCTTCAAGACTGTTGCAAGGATACAGTGACTTAGTGTGTTGAAAGTGCTTACTTAGCACAGTGCCTGGCACACAGTAGGTCTATATGGCCATTATTTATTGATCTAGCCCCTCTCGTATAGACAGCAAAAGTTCATCAGGATTAAAGTGCTCTCAAGTTTCACACTGGACTTCATTTAAGCCTGTGAGGATGGAACTGCTGTGATCTCATTTTACAGAGTGGGAAACAGGCTCTTGTATGAGGTTGTTCAGTGAGGAATCGGGGGCTCTGGGTGGGTGGAGACCCGAGTCTCTCTCTCCTCTCTGCCTTTCTTCTGTCCCTCTGCCCCTTGCCTTTCTCTGCCGCCCACCCTGGCATATGGTGACTGCCAACTACTACTGAGCTGGCTCCTGTGGCAACCTCCTCCCGAAGCCTGCAATGCGATATCCCATGTTAAGAGCATTAATTCAGGGCCTGAGAACCAAAGTTGTAAAAAGCCTTTCTTTGGGTAAGGGGTGCTCTAACAGAACTAATTTGTTTTTATTTCTGGAATGTGGAGAAGGCCCCTCAGCTACAAAGCCCTGTTCTAAAAGGATAGCAGGCAGCCTTATTTTGAATTCTTTTCCTACTTCTTTTTGTGAATTTGGTCAAACTACTTTTTCCCTTGTACCAAGGATTTGTACAGTGAATATCCCTGTTGGTTTCAAGGAACAAACAAGAGTGTGTCAAGGGCATGTGCCTGGGGGTCAGCACAAGCTGCTGTTTCATTGTCTCCCCCTTGTGGGTTTTCTAAGAATGTGGTCCAAGTGTGAATGACCCAGTTAACTTAGCCCTGTACCAGGGGTTGCTCATGGGTGGCCTTGAGGCCCAAGACCCTGCTTGCTGGACCTTTTGTTTCATTTGCCTGGTGTTTAGAAGGTTTTGTTTTTATTTTTATTTCCTGGGGATGTGCCCGCAACCCAGGCACATGCCCCTGACCAGAATCGAACCCGGGACCCTTCAGTCCGCAGGCTGACGCTCTATACACTGAGCCAAACCGGTTTCGGCGAAGGTTTTGTTTTTAGTTAGCTGTCAATATCTAAGATCTTTAGAGATTAAGGCTTCACCACGTTTGGCTATACCCATGTACCCATCGCTGCTGCTGTTATAATCCTCATTTTCTGATCTCCCTGTTCCATCTCACTTGGGGCCAACTGCCTGGATCTCAGAATCAGCAGCCACTTGCTGCCTGGTCAAACTAGGACCGGGCACTAGAGCTGCAGCAGTCCCCACCACTCCCTAGTGCTGCCCAGGCCCATTTCACATTTGCCTTCTGTCCCTGTAAACCTTTGAGTTTCAGACCCCTGGCTTGCCCTGGCCGATTTGGCTCAGTCGATAGAGCATCAGCCTGTGAACTGAAGGGTCCTGGGTTTGATTCTGGTCCAGGGCACATACCTCGGTTGCAAGCTCGATCCTGGGCCCTGATCAGGGCTTGTGTGGGAGGCAGCCAATTGATGTGTCTATCTCACATCTCTCTCTCTGTCTCCCTCTCCCTTCCACTCTCTCTAAAAATCAATGGAAAAGTATCCTCGGGTGAGGATAAAAACAACAAAAAGACCTCTGGCTCTGCACCAGTAGGTAGACCTGTGGCCCTAAGGAGAGGGAGGGGCTTGGGAGATTTTTCTTTGGGAAAAGAGCAGGAGGAGGCCACCGTTGAAGCCTCCAACCCCTGAGGCGTGCGGTGATTCTGCGAGCCTCTCCTCACTGAGCCTCTGTTGACTCCACAGGCCTCCAGGTTGGGTGTATTTCACTTCTTAGGGTAAAGTCACCTGGTGCCCCTCAATGAGAGTGGAGTGACGATTAAATGAGATTGTTTAGACGCAGCGGTCGCCAACCTTTCGGACCTCACAGACCACCAGTGGTCCGAGGACCATTGGTTGGCGACCCCTGCTCCAGAGGTTTCCTTAAATCAGCGGTTGCCAACCTTTCGGACCTCATGTGTATTTCACTTCTTAGGGTAAAGTCACCTGGTGCCC